GACCTCTCCACGGCGACCCTCATCCGCATGGTGGCACTTTGTGTCATCGGGTGTTTATCGCTTGTGTGATGTCCTGGTGGGGTAGAAAGTCATTCATTCATTCATTCAAGACAGCCAGTGCATTGCCAACTACAAAAACCAAACCTTACAACTCCCTTGGGTTATAATCCAGTCATCTCCTTGAGAGATGTAATTTTTCGTTATTTGAAGCCCTACTCTGGCTCTCGCCAGGGGCCGCAATATAGCCCGACCATATATATGGTCTAACGCCTGAACGCGGTTTCTGGGACCTCTCCACGGTGCTCCTCATCCAAATGGTGGCACTTTGTGTCATCGGGTGTTTATCGCTTGTGCGATGTCCTAGTGGGGTAAAAATCTACTCCTGCTCCTTTGGCTCAGGGATATCTTGCCAAATGTCAGTACTACCTTAACAGGGATCCTCTCAATATCAACTATGATCAATCTGCTATTATTAAGTAATCTGGTAATCTGGTAATCATAGTTTCAGCTTCATAGCAAACGGGTCACCCCATAGTTGCTCCGCTCCTGTGCCAACGAAAAACACACGTAGCTCACAGTGACACACCATGCACTCAACTCAGAAGCTGGGAGACGAAACTATATCCTCCCAGTCTACTAATGGAGCAAAAATGCGACGGCCACCGCCTGGCAGAAGTAAAAAAAAAAAGTGGCCGTGCCTAGCGTCCATTTTGACCTGAAGCATTATGTGAGGGTTAATAAATGGTCGCCCCAGCAGTGCCCTCACTATTAGCTGGGGAAGCGACTTAGGACATTACATCCACCAGCAGGCGTCGCCCCTACAACGACCTGACTGCCTTCGTTAACGACTGTTCACCCAACAGCCATGCAGTTCTTTGGCACGAAGGAGACACCTTGAACTTGGGTTTCGGAATGCCGACTTCCTACAAAATGTTATTTTGTGTTTTGTTATCACAATCGACGTCACTGCATATTGGGCATACCCATGCGTGCGCAGTCCTCCGAAGCAGCAGCCACTCCAAAGTACTTCTACTAGTTGTCCCCATGAGAAGCTGGTTATATTGTCTTCTTTCTCGACCTCGAAGACGGCAAAGACGTGCTTCGCCATGCTTAACTCCCATGTCACGCAATCGTGTTAGTGTCAGGGATTCGTCATTATCCACTAGCCCAGTACGTACGGCATTGACGATATCTGCTCTGTCCAAGCTTTTTCCCGCAATCATTGGTGCAGTGCTTGCCAGCTGGTCCGCTCGCTCATTTCCCTTTACGCCCTCATGACCCGGTGTGTAGATCCAGGTTACGGAAGTTAAGTGCGATTTCCAAATGCTTTCTATAAATTCAGAGCGCATACTGCCTGTTGCTATTTTCTGAAGCATATTCATTGAGTCTGAGACAATTACTGCTTGTGTGGCGGTTTGCTCGGATACCCATGCTAAAGCCCTAGAAGCAGCAGCTATTTCCATTGTCATGCTTGACGTGGTTGTCTGGTAAGCGCCGCTGTCCTCATGTATTGTTTTCTCCTTTCTTTGCGCTGTGTATGCCCATGCTGACCTTGATCCGCGCTTCACGGACCCATCTGTGTAGATGATGATATCTTATTGGTCTGAATGCTGATCTATCAGTTCCCTTACTTCTGTGTCTATGGCCGCAGGAATCTGATCCCGACAGTACCTTCCGAGTGTAATGACAACCTTAGAGATGCCATGCATGTTTACTGGTGTATTCAACCATTCTTTTCCGTGCCTGATAACGTCTAGGTCACATACCTAGACGTTATCAGGCACGGAAACGAACGGTTGAATACACCAGTAGACAATAATAAGTATTTTACAGAAAGAGAGATAACGGTTGCTATCCACACCAGAGCTGGATTAGGGTTTATACAGATGGAAAAGGGTGGGAGGGGGGGGGGGCAGTGAGACGAAACTGGGGGATCATAAACAGAATGCCCAAGTAGTTTTAAAACTAGACCAGCTATACCAGCGGGTTCATGTTCCTCAAACTATAGATCGTGGTGCATGTTCTACCCTGACTAGACACAAACTCAGAAAATGTTACAGAGTTGTCTTTCTGACTGATGCCAAGCCAATTCTGCAAGCAACTATCAACACCAAAAGCAAACAGTTTGTAGACTTAACGCAACAGCTGATTCACATAGGATTCAGTAGAACTATCTGCCCCTCAGTGGATCACGGGTCACTGTAGTTTGGATGTCAAGAAAATGGCGGACAGGCTGTCCAAAGCAGCAGTGACATAGTACAACCAAATTGTTATTCAACTCACCAGGAGATCAAGACATGGATTTTCAAATGTAATCAAGAAATATGACTGGATACCCACACACATAATGTTCGTCCAAAGACTCCTTTTATCATCTCTGAGAGAGGTGGCTGGGTCACACATGGAGAATGGAGGATGGCAGTCCCTAAGGACATCCTCTATGGTGAATTAATGATGGGTAAAAGATGTCGAGGCCAATCTCTACTATCATATAAAAATGTCTGCGAACGGGACATGAATGACACAAGCATTGGGGTGGACTCGTGGGAACACAATGCCATGGACAGTGTTGTGTGGAAGGAAAACATCAGGGAGAGGATGAGAATGAAGGAAGAAGTGCTTCCAGAAAGGGGGAGAGCTGAGCGTCAACAATGGTACGTAAATCACATGCTTTAATTGTGAAAGACTTTTCTTAACGCGGAAGGGTCTTGCTAGTCACACTCGCCAACGCCATGGGTTGTGAGTCCCATGCCTAGCTACACAGCAATATAACACTATCGCCTGGAAAGACAGAAAGGTGCCAGTCAGCGAAGAGAAAGGCAGTACTTCATCTTCAAACTTCCTCTATGCCCCCCCCCCTTTTTTTTTCCTTCTAAAAGAGGTGGGGGTGGGGGAGCGGCGCACAATCTCATCTCTCTTTAACAAGCATGTCGTAAAATGCGATTAGTTAAGGGTTTTCTTAGATTAGATGTGTGCGACCGAAAGGCACGTAAATCACCCAGTAAATCATGTAAACTGTACCTTGTGACAAAGTGGCCATCTGGCCGTTTCCCACCCCTGTGTCGACAAAGATGTTAAAGTTAAGTTATAGTGAGATTTGGGCTACACGATAGCTTTCACCAAGGCTACACGCCTCCTGATAGAAGTATCATGATGTAAGGAAGGATCACACACACACACAAACATCACAAAACCATGTACAAGCAAACGTGCTCGCTGTATCGGCAGAAAGTAAACAGCTGTTCCCTCATTATATATTCCAAACTTTATCTAGCATGATCATCGTGTGATTTCGAACTGACACATCATACAAACAAGACGCCACAAAATCAGAACAATAAAAGCTCTTTAGAAGCAGCAAATGAATTCTACACCTGTGTGTGTATATATATTAATGGGTTTATGGCATGACTAGACAATTAGTCAACAAATAAAGCAGATAACGAATCTACAGGAATCATAAGTAAATATGCTATTTTCTAATCCCTCAAACAGCTTCATTTCAAAATAAAAACGGGTTCCTGTGTGGGTTCCGGGACAGCATTGTGGGGTAAAAACAGAATAGACCCACTGCCTCCTTAGGAGCATTTTGTAAAAGTCGACCAATAAGGAATCTTTCCTTAGAAGTCGAGGCGCATTGGCCCCAGAGGAGAAGAACCAACAACCTCCATAGAAATTAGCTAGATCTGTCAAATGGATGTACAAGCAAAACTCACATTCTGGAGTAAGTCTTATGTCCAGAAGTTGACCTGAGAACTGTCCACCGGTGAACGCTTAAACGAAACATTAGTAGTATAAGCAGATGGTTCTATGTTTCAGTTGTTTATATACAAAGGAGGTATATGTTGTAAAGGTATGGGTGTCTTTTGAATCAGTTGTTTATATACAAAGGAGGTGTATGTTGTAAAGGTCTGGGTGTCTTTTGAATCAGTTGTTTATATACAAAGGAGTTGTAAAGGTATGGGTGTCTTTTGAATCAGTTGTTTATATACAAAGGAGGTGTATGTTGTAAAGGTCTGGGTGTCTTTTGAATCAGTTGTTTATATACAAAGGAGGTGTATGTTGTAAAGGTATGGCTGTCTTTTGAATCAGTTGTTTATATACAAAGGAGTTGTAAAGGTATGGGTGTCTTTTGAATCAGTTGTTTATATACAAAGGATGTGTATGTTGTAAAGGTATGGCTGTCTTTTGGATCAGTTGTTTATATACAAAGGAGTTGTAAAGGTATGGGTGTCTTTTGGATCAGTTGTTTATATACAAAGAAGTTGTAAAGGTATGGGTGTCTTTCGAATCAGCTGTTTATATACAAAGGAGGTATATGCTTTAAAGGTATAGGTGTCTTTTGAATCAGTTGTTCCCCGTGGGTTCTCATGTCCCATATTTTGAGAAGGAGAAAAAAACAGGATAGATCCACACCTCCTGAACAAAAATGTTGTAACAGGTAACTAATTAGGGCCTTACTGAAATGGGATGCGTTGGACCAAAGGGCGCAGATTTCACAGCCTAGCTGTGAACCAAAACACAACAAGTGAATCGCTTTTTTAAGAAGAAGAAGGCAGAAGGAAGAAGAAGAAGAAAAAGAATAAATAAAGAAAGAAGAACAAACAAAAAGAAGATAAAGAGGAAGTAGAAGAAGAATAAGGAGGAGGAGGAAGAAGAAGAAAAAGAAAAAGAAAGAAGAAGAAGAAGAAAAGAAGAAAAAGAAGAAAGAAGGAGAAGAAGAAGGAAGAGGAGGAGGAAGACACTATTTTCTACAATTACTAAAGTTTCATCTGAATGCAATAAACTGGACCCACAAATACACGAGTGTAAAACACAATGAGACTTGTTTTTTTTAAAGATACGTTTTCCACTTGCACGTTATCTTCATTGTCAATGTTCTTTCCACTAAGTTCTTACCACTGATAGCTTGTCCTCATTGTCAATGTTCTTTCCACCTACAGATTGTCCTCATTGTCAATGTGGCAACTTACTGAGGTCTGACCCATCATTATCATGGAATGAATGCACTTAGTTCCAAATATGCTGGTCAGAACTTCACAATCCTTGGTTTTCCTTGCAACCAGTTCAACAAGGTAAGTATTATGTCTGTAAACGTATTTCAAAGCCACGCACGTACACTCATCTTGTCTCTAAACTTCTAAGAAATAGGTGGCGACATGTGTTTGATTGCGTAAATTCATTAAATACCCACCAACACACCACATATTTATTTGTTACTTCACTGTTGTAATATTGTTCACATTTATCAACACCATCTGCCACTTAAAGCAGTTCATATATGGATCAATATGGGATAATGTAATAACTGTCCAGATTATGGTGTTGCGACTAGACGCTAACCTTGGGCGCAAAGGTTGTAGGTTCAAATGCAACAAAGGCCTGTTTTTTTTTTCTTTAAAAAATGACCTTGGCTTCCAGCCAAAAACTGGCAAAGGTAAATTCCTAGGAAGTAAAGGTGACTGACGTGATGTTGACCATACCCCCCCCCCCCTCCCCCGAGTACCGATTGGTCCATAAAATATATGTCTTGCACTAAATGACCAATACGCCTAATGACGTGGAAAAGGTTCTATTGGAGCAGAAATTTGATCACTTGCGGATGGTACAGGGCAAAAGTAGTTGACTGCATGACTAGAACAGAGAGAGATAATAAATCTGGCCTACAAAGCATTAAAAATAGCTAATGAGGGATTGGCCGTGTAGAAAGACTGCTAAAAGTCAGTGTCCAACATAATCTTCGAGGACAAAAAATGGCTGGTCACCCCTGAAACAATTGGTTGATGGATTACAAAGCTACGAATAACACTATGAATGGAGCAAACGCCAGATGTTTCTTTTGAACCAGACACTGAAAGGCTGAACCAGGACTCTCTCTTACATTATTGGACATTTCAATATATTTATTGGTATTATTATAGTAATATTATTAATCTTCCACTCTCATGGAGAAGTATAATTGGTCTAGCGTGCAGTGGGTGGAACTTACAACAATCATGTCATGTTAATGTCCAATGTCTTTACTATCGTCAACCAATCTTCATCCTGAGCATCTCTTGCTCTCGTATTGGCTTTTCTCAGTTGTAGTATCTGTGATGGTAGCCTGTGTTTGCTGCATTCTAACAGGACACCCCAACCATTAGACCCTCTGCTTCTCAATGTAGCATGATGAACAAATTGTAATGAACTGATCATCTGCAGTTCAATGTAATAGACACAAGGTGTTCCAACAATCTGTCTGACTGAATCTTGCAAGGTCTAAGGTGATTAATTATTGTTAACATGTCACTTTTTTATGTCAGCAAGAACCAGGGGCCAATGGAACAGAAATCATGAATGGGATAACCCATGTTCGCCCTGGTTTTGGATTTGTTCCCAAGTTTCCAATCTTTGAGAAGATTGACGTGAACGGGGACAACGAGCACAAGCTCTTTACATACCTGAAGGTATGAGAAAATGTGTTTTCCTTTGTTTAAGTTTTATCGTCTGGGATATTTTAGTTCAACATGCAATAAGAGTGAGAAAACATCTGCTTTTTTATGTATGCTTACAGTTGCTAGATGCCTGTCTGTCTTCTCAAAGATCTTGTGTTTAATTCCTATTCAAGGAGGATTCTCATAATAGACCTAGTGCTGCCAATTCTTGAGTTGAGTGAATGGTGCGACAATGTGAGCTGCAGATTTCATTTGGGATGCTTTCTGAATGTGCCCAACGTGGGTTGTTTTGTGAACTGCAGATTCAGAACATGGCGGGTGGCATATTGATAGAGATAACTGGTGGTGCCTTAAGCGATTAATTGCATGGGCAACTACTTATCTTGCAGCTTCCATGGATGATGAACTGCATTTCTAGTGTCGTACTGTTTGTGCTGGCACTTCTGATAGCTGCCATTTGCATCTAATACATGTTTATGCTATTGGCTTTGTTATGACTGCAGTGTGTGTCAATTTTTTCATGGAGGCAGTGATTAACATTGTGTGGTTTTCGATGACACAGGAATGGAGCAACTATGGGGTGACCCATTTGCTTTGAATTTGCAATAACCTGATGGACCCAGGCTAAACATGGGTCTAACATGGGTCTATCACAACAGGCTCGTTGTGCTACTAGCCTGGAAATGATTCTTTTTTTTTCCTGTAGTTAACATGTTGCATAAATAAGCAGACATGAGCTCTTTTATTGTATTGCATTTCAAAACTACAGAAAACTAACATTTAAAATACTTAGATCTTTTTCTACACTGGCCCTGAAAAGTGCAGCTAGCAACTGTGATTTACAACTGGGCTACAATATTGATTTTCAGCGCAGTACATCAGATTTCAGCAGCTCTAATTATTAGCCTTGGTTTACTCTATGTCCCCCCACCCACTACCCCTTTTTGAGCCACACACACACAAAAAAGGCACAGGAATCCTTACAAAGAAAATATTTATATAATAGCAAAACAATTTTAGGTCTTACAATGTCTCAAAAATTCAAAGTCTTGTAAAAGGCAGACAAGCAGATAATTGTTTGTACTAGACTATTAATAATAATCACCATGTGAGGATGTCTGATTAAGATTAGGCTCAATAAGAGATACTTATAAACACAGAAAAATATTTATATCATTACTAAAACTGAAGACAAGCTTTAACATGATCCTGCGCTCTACTGAGAATAGAGCATTTTGTATTAGATTTTCAACACAGTGTATGTCTTAACTCCTCTGGTTATCACTTTAAGGGTGCTGTAGAACAGAGTGGCTACTGCATTTGCCACAGACTGGAAATTAGGATTTTTACTGTTACCACCAATAGAAAAAATATTCACCTTACAGAGGATTTAACCCTGGGTCTCCCAATAGGACCCAACATTCTAACCATGCGGCTAGCTGCTTTCAACATATAACACATTTGTGACACTCCTATGTATACAACGGCGACTATTTGTTTTTCCACCCAAAATTAAGAAATAAATATTTTTAACATTCCGAGTATACGACAACCTCCAATTTTAAACTTAAAAAAATGTGTGAAAACCTTATCTTATACACAGAAATTACAGAACATAGTTGGTAATGTTAACACACCACTGTGTTACTATCAATACATTCAGTCTACTGTTTATAAAACTGCGTACAGGTACATATATAATAAGCTTGTTTAATTGTTCTTTTCAGCGAAACTGTCCGCCCACAAAAGATGCCTTTGATCCAGTACTTTTATTCTACCTGCCGATCCGGGGTAGTGATGTTGCCTGGAACTGGGAAACTTTCCTTGTGGATGAAAACGGACGGGTAATTCATCGGGCTGCTCCAGCCACAGATCCGGAATCTTTGTCAGCTGACATAGATGTGGCTTTATCCAAAGCCAAAGGCAATTCACAGCAAACTGTTGTTGGTTAGACTGCCCTTTCAGTGGGATCAGAATTATGTTTGTAGATGTCATATTGTAGCCACATGCGTGTATGCTGGTAGATGTTATATTGTAACCAAGAGTGTATGTGTGTTTTATTCAGTTATTGTGATATTTAAAAAAAAAACATAATCTTAAAATAATTATTAATGTTCTGCTAATCTGACTTGTAGTTTAATTGAATGACATTACATGCAACAAGTAACTGGTTCAATAATGCTGTTACCAAAAAAAAAAAAAGCCTACTATCTGATAAACAAAGCAGATGTTTATTATTTAACAAACAAAACAGAAGAAGATGAATATTATTTAACGACGATAAGTTTAGCTTGAGCCATTGCCTTGAAAAGCTAATGACGTGCCTTCCACAAACAGCCATCTTTGGTTGCTGGACTGCACTGATACATTGCAGACGTCACACTGACTAGTGCATTCGTCATGTGACTTATGTAATGACTTTTCACCAAGAAGGCATTGACACAACCTGAATATTTATCAAGTTACATTTAAATTCCTGACTTTGTTCACATTTCTGTCATTGCATCTTATTGCTAGAACCAAGTTTTCATTTTGACCACATACAAAATCATGCAGTGCATAACAAATGTATCATTACTATGTTGCAAAAGCTATGAAGTCTCAATAAAAAGATAATCAATACTGAATAAGCAAAAGCCTTGTGTTAATAATTTTGTCTTGCATGCAAATGTTACGTCTAAACTAAATCAGTGCATACATTTCTTGGATGCTACAATATAAAACTTAATGAAAATGAACAACAACTATTCCAAACATAAACATTATATTATGTACATTTAATCAGTTAACAATGAGCCGGTGATGTATCATCATCATGTAGCAGGTCCTTTGCTAATCCTCAAGGAGTCTTTTATATCCAGTGCACTTCTTCGTGTTGGTCGGCCCCTGCCCCTCCTTCCTGGTACCATGCCTTCTGCTATTATTTTTTCCAATCCGTTGTGGTGCTTAACATGACCAAAATATTTCAGCTTCCAAAACAGGATGCTGTTTATTAGTCAATCTTCCCAATCTTCCTTGATGTTCAGATCTTTCAAGATGTCAGTATTTCTCTTTTTCTTTGTCCAAGATATTCTGAGAATCTTTCTATAGAATTTCAGTTCAAAAGCCCCTATTCTCTTTCTTTAAGGACAGGGAGATATCCATGACTCACATCTGTATGTTGCTACAGGGAAGATGCATGCTCTCAAAATTCTAATTTTGATCTCCTTGCTGGTGCTTAACCATAGATTTGTAATGCTGCTTAATCTTTTCATTGCTATGGCCATCCTTCTTTTAATTTCTGTCAAACAGTCTCCATTGCTATTTATTATAGAGCCTAGATATTCAAAGTTTATGATATTTTCAATTTCTTCATCATTTATTGTTATTTTTGGGGGACAGGCAGTTTGATCTGTGGACATTATTTTCATTTTCTTTAAATTCAAGAACAGATTTTGATCTTCACTGTGCTTTTGCAATATGTGATGTATACAAAATATATTATCATACAGCAGTCACAGCTGAAATGGTATAAGTTGTTTAGAATTAAAGATGCTAGATCACAATTGCATGTTTATCCTCCTGGGATCCATCAAGAGAAGCAAAGAATAGCAATAATACAACCTACATGAGTGTCTTAGGAGGTGACAGGAGGGTTGGTATCACTATTGACTATCTCATCTCAATAAAGGCCTTAGCTGCAGAATTCAAATTCATCTTGAACAAATTAAAACAGACAAGAGGACGTGGAATAAGCTGGTTGTGGGGAAGAAGAAGATGACATGAGTGTCAGCATAATGAGGTTCCCAAAAAAAAAAATGTTCCTAAGACATTGAGCAGACACTCATGTTATGATGTCTGCTTGAAGAACTGTAGTTTTCCTGCTTGAAAGACGACTTTGCAAATGTTATGAACCCATGAATATTCCCAGAAAAAGTCCTTTAAAAACATGAAAACTATATTACACAGGTCACTAATATACTGTTTTAAACATTTATTTATCTATATTTATAATTTGTTGTTGTTGAAAGATATTGAGATATATAAAGGGGTAATCAATAAACATAGTTAAGCATTAAATGGAATACATTCCCAGGGGCTGTGACTTCTATCAGTGAGGCTTATGGGAAAATGTGACATTAACTTGGCTTAAAAGAAATAAAAATAGGGTGATAAATTCCTAACCTTCAGATTCAGCAAGCAGCCCTGCCCCTCCCTCAGTGCTATTTGTATGACTATATTAGAACCTGAATCAGTGTGATTTAAACACAACAACTGATCTGAGCTTTAAAGGTTCTGGACTGGATTCCACTGATGATTTTGAAGTTATTACACAGGAATGAATGGAATGGAGGATAGACTCCAAACCTATAGTGGCATAACAAGATGATGATGAGCTTCAAGGTAAACCTAGCCTATAAATAGGTACCAGGAAACCTCATGGGAAGTAAAAGTGGCCAGCAAGATGTTAACATCACCCATTAAGTGCCAAGTAGTATATAATAATATTAGTTTAACAGCATATGCCCAAATCAATACTGGCCTGAAAAGGTCCGTAGATTTTTACTTTATTTACATTGGGATGTAATCAGACCATGAATCAGCATAAAACATAAACTAGAACTCTAATTAACCTTACAGCTTCTGCTGCTGATGTTGGCATCTAATCCATAAAACTAGAACATTCCTACTGTTATTTTACCAGTGAATAATGAAATAAATTATAAGAGAGAACATGAATTATAAGTGTTTTCATCCATTAAATTTAACTTATTTTAAAACTGAAAAAACCAAAACACAGTAAGAGAATCTCTATGGAGATGAAAACATCCAAAAGACTTCTGATACAAATGGTTACAATTTTATCGGTAGAGGTACCTTGGAGTAGCTGCAGCATCAGAGGACTGAGCCACATGTGCAGTGAAATAGATTATGATAAATAATACAACTTGACACAATATAACAATTGCACGAGGAAGACTGACCGTTTTACTGACACATCTCTAAAATGATGTGGCTTTAGGTTCACAACCATAAGCCATGGCAAGCCTGCAATCTATTATTACAACAATCACCATATTTTTTTAAATTTATTGTACACAAACAATAGTTCACAAATACAATCCTCTGTGTGGGTTTCACAACTCAATTTTGGTGAACAAAATTCAACCCGCTGACCCCTAACAAACATGTCGTAAAAGACAACTAATTAGGAGTTTGCTTAAAATGGATGTGTTGGACTAAATGGGGTCAATCTCACTGCCTAGCTGTAAATCAAACCACAGCATGCCAAATGCATTTTTTAAAGGGTCAATGCAACAAAAAGGGACAAATATTTCTGAACGATAAATGGGCCAGAGAGCAGTATGGAATTTTACTCTCCCCTTTTTTATTTATTTGAAATTTAAACTGTATTTTGGAGAAACCTGCCCAAAGATTTGTAAGACACAATGAAAATAAAAAGCGCTAGGAATTTAATAGATTCACTTCCTTTAGCCAGTGATTCAGTATAATGTCCATTCCTTTAAAGAGGAAATAGCCTTCAAACTGTCTGTCCTTCAGCATATAGGGAAACCATAACCTGTCATCAGGCCACATCTGACTAAATGGTATAGATTCTTCAGAGTACCAGCGTGGCCGCATTTCTGCAAACAGACAAAAGAAAAATCTCGGAAATAATTCATTATTTGAGAATCACAAGCTAAGAACCCTTTTGACACCACTAACACACACACAGCATATGGTGCTGGATCAATATTTACAAAGATCAACAGGCTAAAGGCTAAATACATGATACTGTCAATATCCTGTCAGTTGCCTTTACTTCTCAGGAAATTTTCTAGTACCCAGTTTTGGTTAGGTAAACTGGAGGCCCAAATCAATTATAAGTCTCTGGCAGGAAGTTCACACCCAACAGCACTTCTAAGGCTCACATTACAAGATATGCAAATGAACAAAGAATATCTTACACTGTAAAAATTTGAAAATGATAGACAGATGAATACTTTGGGAAGAAAAGATTTAGGAACTGGAAAATCATCATTATGTGTCATGACTCTGAGTCATGTAGGCAGTCACATTCCTCAACAAACATTTGTCATTTTTGTTATTGATAAGTCTTCAGCACTAGCACACTAGTCCAACCAACTTATGCTCCATCTGCATATGCAGCAGCCATCTCAGTGTCACCATACCCTACATACTCAGCAGCCATCTCATTGTCCCCATACTCCACGTACTCAGCGTAATCAGCAGCAATCGCTTGGCAGGTCTTCTTTCTTTTTCCCACAACCAGTTTCTGCACACCTGTTCTCACACTGAATACACATTTCCAACAGGCAGGGCAACGTTTCTGACTCCCTTGTCTCTGAAACAAAGCACATTCAGTATGTCTGTCCTGTCCCTACTTCTTCTTCCACCAGCCCAGTGCTGATATGGCCAATCTTTCAGCTCTTTCATCTCCTTTCATCCTGGCATGTTATGGTATGTACAGCTAAGACAGTTTCTTGATGTGGGACTTCTAGATGCTGTCAACCCATCCTAGTCTATTAGCTAGTCTAGATCTTCTAAGTGCTACTCTGTGAAGTGACCTAGCATTTCTCTCTCTGTTGAAGGGTCTCACTCCTAGAAACTGTAACAACAACATACTCTTGTTTTCATGCGCCCCCCCCCCCTTTTTTTTTCACCAAATGACATTTCTCTTGTACTAACTGGCCAGTGAAATGTCTTTGAGAACTGGCTTACTGCAGTATTTGGACACTTGTCTTCTTAGTTGTCCTTGGATTCATAGCAATCTATGCAGAAACAATATCTCTGTGGCCTTAATTTTTTTTTAATTCTCTTTAATGTCCATGATTCCCTGTCATACAGCAGTATGAACCAACTTTTATTGCATACAAAAAAAAAATAAAAGCACACTTCTTCTCCGCTCTCTCCCAACACTTTGCTGAAGGGACTAGAAGAAGGAAAAGAAGTAGGAGAAGAGGAAGAGTAATATGGGCAGGAATAACATCTTGAAACCTCTGTTGTCAGAGTTCTATGGACAAGGACACATTATATAAAATGTCCTTTATTTGTTAGAATGTTGCTTTAGCACGGATTTTTGTGTGTTTTATCACTACATTTGTTAAAACCTGTTGTTAACAACTTTTAATAGGTGAATCTCTTGATCTGTTTTACTGTTACCCACTTTGCTATAATGGTTACAATTCCCCCCCCCCCCCCCCACACTCCATGTGATTACAATTATCATGTGTACGTATGCACCAAGAGATTCAAAGGGGTTCTTTATTGTAAATGGAAGCTGAGTCTTTCGTTTTTTTTAAAAAATCCTATCTCAATACAAATTCAAACCTAAACCAGACTCACAAGCAAGCATGTCAGCCACTGCAGCACATGGGCTACCAGATAACCAGTACACGCCCAAGTAATTCAGCAAATGAAAATTTACAGTCTTGTCAGCAGCATGTCTGGAGAGACTGGTGCAGTGATCAGTGGCTGCTGAGAATGGGGAGAAAGTGCTTAAGGGAAAGTTTTAAGTGTTCTGATGTTGTCTTAACTGAGTTTAACCTATAAGTGGTCAGCAATGAAAACAAATTTCTAACCTTCAGATTCAGCAACCAGTCCTGAGAAGTCCGACGTCTGAAAAATATGAACTTCCAATATGGTTGGGTCACTCTCAAATTCAAAGTTTATAAGCCCAACACTCTTCAAGGAATGGGCCTTTAGTCCACATTCTTCCAAGAGTTCTCTGTAAATAAATGGAAAAGCCAAACATCTCCACCATTCACAATATTCAGACTGGCTTGCAAAAGGAAAAAGTACATTAACATTTCGGATACATAATTCATTGTTTTGCAATTTTTAATCATAGCAAATTGTTATTCTAAATGTAAATATCCTGTGTGCTCTGCAGAAAGAGCACACAGGATATGCACATTTATAATATGCGATATGCGATAAATCCTGGTGCAGTGAATTTGGTCCTTTTGCCTTTAAACACCCTTTATTCTTGTGTGAATTCTTGTGTCCCATTTTGAAGGGAATAGAATAGATACCCCCCCCCCCCCAACCCCCTCCAAAAAAAAAGCATGCTGACTAATTAACTCAGCGCCCCCCCCCCCCCCCCCCCCCCCCCCCCCCCCCCCCCCAAACAAGCATGGTGACTAATTAGCAATCCTTTAATGTGTCTGGTCATGCTGTACATATCCATTCGGCAATCCTTCAACTTTGTCCTGTCACACTGCACTGTATCCAGTCAGAAATCTTTTATCTTATCCAGTCACACTGCACATATCTAGTCAATCCTTTACTCTCTCCTGTCACACTGTACTGTATCCAGTCAGCAATCCTTTATCTTATCCAGTCACACTGCACATATCTAGTCAATCCTTTACTCTCTCCTGTCACACTGCACTGTATTCAGTCAGCAATCCTTTATCTTATCCAGTCACACTGCACACATCTAGTCAATCCTTTACTCTCTCCTGTCACACTGTACTGTATCCAGTCAGCAATCCTTTATCTTATCCAGTCACACTGCACATATCTCGTCAATTCTTTACTCTCTCCTGTCACACTGTACTGTATCCAGTCAGCAATCCATTATCTTATCCAGTCACACTGCACATATCTAGTCAATCCTTTACTCTCTCCTGTCACACTGTATTGTATTCAATCAGCAAATTCTTTATCTTACCCAGTCACACTGCAGATATCTAGTCAATCCTTTACTCTCTCCTGTCACACTGTACTGTATCCAGTCAGCAATCTGTTATCTCATCCAGTCACACTGCACATATCTAGTCAATCCTTTACTCTCTCCTGTCACACTGCACTGTATCCAGTCAGCAATCCTTTATCTTATTCAGTCACACTGCACATATCTAGTCAATCCTTTACTATCTCCTGTCACACTGTTGTACTGTATCCAGTCAGCAATCCTCTAACTTGCCTTGTTACCAAATGTTACATTAAGGAAGGCATTCGTTAGATTAAATGTACATTACAGTTAACTGGACATTGTTGAAGCAAACAACGAAAATTCACCCATTAGCAATGTAACAGTGAGGAACTGTGTGAAGCCGCAAAGATGTTTTGTGTGTGGTAGAGAGAGAGATAAGAATACCAGACACCAATTAAACAGCTTAAGTGAGTATGTCTTGAAAGAGATATATTTATAAAGAGAACTGATTACCTGTAAGAGAGGCATACCCACAGTCTTAGAGAACGTCCAGAGAAGGAAAACAATTAATGCATTGTGACAGGGAGAGGGTTGGAGGTGAAACATATGTAAAAGGAGATCAAATGGGAATCAGTTAGGCAGTCTGGCATGAAAGAACATTTCTGCTAGAAATGACTGGTGGTACAACGGAGAGAACTCTGTGGAATGGTGTGATTAACAACGTCTTGTGATTCTGACTATAGGGAAAGAATAAAACATCACATGAAAAAGGCAAAGATTTGCACTATCTAGACAAGCTCTTACTGTGACCTAGCCATTTTAATAGGTTATTATTCAGTGAATTCTCATCAGAAGGACTGGTTATTTCCATTACCTCTTAGCACCCTGTAAGATTGTTTCACCCTCTTCAACTTTTCCTCCAAAACCATTCCACAGACCTGCTCCAAAGCCTCTTTTCTTAAAACCAAGCAATATTTTCCCAGCTTCTCGAACAAATACGAGTGTCAATATCTTCTTTTTGGACATTCTGAAGAAGAAAAAAACACAGCACAAACCTAGTAAGTTCCATAGTGATTTTATCTGGCATTACTATCTAGCTTGGTTTATCAGTCCATTATCAATTTTTATTTTCATGTCACAATAATATACCCACAGTGACAACATATGTGCAATGTAGCTCTGTCTAGGGTTTGATTGAGCTCGTCATATTGCTATACTGGCGTTCTTAATTACATGAAGGTACTAGGAATACACCAGACAATGAACACTCAGTTATTGATCTTTATTCGCTGTTCCAACAACCACATTGTCCAGTCACTAACTTGCGTTCTCAAGGTTGCAACGTTTGGCTTATTTATGATAACATTTCCAACTATCTCACACTGTGATTCTCTCTGCCATTACCTTTCGGATCATATATCTGGATCAGGCTAACATCTTATTCCTTGAACCTGCATACAATCTAAACTCGCAGTCAGTAGACATTAATTTCTGCTCTCGCACAATTACACGTGGTCAGACGATCTGCATTCTTCTCAGCTGTTCTCTTGCATTCGACCACACACATCAATGTCCATACTTCAACTGACTTCCTATCCTCTCTGGGTTCACACCTTCCGTTCAAGTATTACGCTTTCCTCGTATCACTATTAACTCACCACGGGATACTCGAGACATGCTTTTCACACTGTCGTCTTGTTTCACTGGTCCTCTGACCTTATCCCCCCAATCGAGAACTCTCTGGGATTTCCCTGAGAATTCACACCGTTACAATACGCCTCATGAATTTTCATGACCAGTGTGTTCTTATATATCTTGTGTCCACACTCATATTGGACAGTACAAGCCTCTTTTTCCATAAACCATGTCTGCAATTACTTTTCTTTCTAAGGGACAGTGATGTTCAGTATGGTCATTGTATTTCAGTTTCAAGACAGGATGCTGTTTATGAGTCCGCTGTCTTTGATGGTCAGGGTTATAATGTCTGTATTGCTTCCTTGTTTATCGCCACTGCATTTCAAGAACTTTGCTATAATATTTCAGTGTAAAAGACTCTATTCTCCTGCCTGATCTCGAAATGGTCTAGGATTCAAGTCCATACACTGATCAAACTGCATGCTTTTAAAAATGTTTCAATATTGTTTAATATCTCCCTCAGGATGACCTCACAGGACAGTCCAATATTTTTGAGGGTGGTAAGAGCGGGTTTCCGGGCTTTTTAATACTTTTAACTACCCCCAAAACGAGCAAATAAAAGAAAGGAAGCTGCAGGAGATGCTGTAGCTCCTGCTCGTGAGTCACAGCCATCTAGTTTAGCCCCGCTCCTGCGTGGCGCCGGAGATACTCTCGGCGGTGGCGGTGGTTGCCGGAAGTCCGAAATTTAAGTCGCTGGAAGTATGCAATTTTCATGTGACTAAGTCGCTATTAATTAGGGTATATATTCGGCCTCGATAATTTGGGACCGTTATTCGGAGGACAGCCCAATTTATTTAATGGTATACTTTTTTTTTTTTTTTTGCAAAAATTTTATTGATTATTTTAGGAGCCATAAAGCGCTCCCACTGTGTACATAAATTAAAAACGAACACCTTGTTAGCTGTTGTGTAACACTAACGTCGTGCTGTTTCAAAACTAATTAAAATTGATCTCTTAATCTTCTGAAGTTCATCAGAGTTCAACATGGCAGTTTAGTTGTAGACTACATCTTGTGTCACTGTCAAATGTGTGACGTAACATTTAATATAGATTTATAAACGTCACCCCCACAAGTCGGATTAAAGCTATTACCTCTCAGCAGGACTCAGGACAAATCTTGATGGATTGTTTTACAAAATACACAGACTAGATCAGCAAGTGTGGGAAGAAATTCCCATTTCGAAATCCCCTCGAAGATGGAAACCATTGGATAAGCACGAGAAAGGGTTTCCCCCCAACAACTGGCGAGCCAATCAACATGGAGAGTTTAATGCTGTGACGTCACATGATGTTAATGACATAAAGGTCTAAAGTTAGGAAAGAGAACAGGCAGAAAAGGGTAAGAAAAACATAGAGTATATGTCAGCTTTACAAAACCTGTTACAATAAACAGATAAAAGATGTAGTGGTGATTATCTTTCCTCATCAAAAAAAAAAAAAAAGAATTAAATGACAAACTGGGAAGCATAAAATGTCATTTATGCTGTCCTTCCGTCTTGTCTTGTCTTGTTCACAATTGCCTCACAGCGTAGTGGGGAGTCGCAGTTTTCTATCCTGGGCCAGGTGTGTTGCACGTGTTGTTGTTAGTCCGTGTTGCCTCAGGATCTCTGATATATTGTCTATCCATCGTACTCTCGGTCTGCCTCTTTCTCTAGGGAAGTAGTGCTGTTCGTTGTATGCTCGTAGAGGCAGCTGGTCGGTTTGCATTCGCATCAAGTGGCCAAACCACTCTATTTGTTGCTTCTTTATGTATTGCAGGCATGGTGTGGTTCCTACAATTGATCTAATGTTCTCGTTTCGAACTCGGTCTTTCCTTGTGACTTTGGCAGCCTTACGTAAACATCTCATTTCGCACGTCTTGATCTTTTTCTCCTGTGCTCTTGTTACATTGTTTGAGGTTAACGGATCAACATCACGGCACACGGGTAGTAACTCATAAGTGCTCCGTTCTTCTTCTAACTCAAGTCTGAGTCCGAAGAAGCTCAGCACAGTGCACATGCTCTGTGGCACCAGCGAGGATCCTGAAATACTTTGGGTAGATTTGTTGGGTAGAAAGTCCAAATTTTGCCCGGGTAGCGCCTTTAGGCTACTCTATTCGATTTCCAACTGCCATGGTTTTTTTTTACGTGCGTAACAATGCACACAGACGTCCGATCTCACTACCCAGAGACCAGGGGAAGTCTAAGTCCACGTGAAAAAAAAATCCCAACCCTTGCCAGGGATTAAACCCGGACCCTCCGGCACTCGAGGCGTACACCATGCCCGAAACTGCTCGAAACCACGCATCACCCGCAACAACAACAACAACAACAACAACAAAAATCGGGACATGAGCGCAATAATTAAAATCGAATTGAGTTTATGTAGATTGTTAGTAGATCTGACCTAATATAGGACGCACGATTTTTTTTTTTGGGGGGGGGGGGGGGGGTCGTATATTAAGGCCTCTTTATAACTACCGTGGGGGCCTTGATATAACCTAAATGTTGAACGGGGTTTATGGAACTATCGCTTGGGGAATTCTCATCCGAATGACATTTTGTGTCATCGAGTATTTAGTCACAGCCTTACGGAAATGAAGATCAATTTAAATAGTGCTCTCGGCAGAGCTTATCAACGAACGTTACCCCCCCCCCCTCCCCCCCCCCCCCAACAATTCACCGAGGTAATGGTGGGATTGAACGTCACTAACTCAGTCTAGAGAAAAGGGGGGGGGGGGGGGTCACACATAAGTATAGGACTTATCTCCTGGAAACAAAAACAACAAATACAGTGGTTCTGTAGAATGAAAGAAGAATGCTAGATGAAATAAAGAGACACGTGAAATATGATCTCCACATTAAAGGACATACAACTCTTTTCAAAGCTACCGTGGAAGGAGAGTAGACGTCAAGAGAGCAAAGGGTGGACAGCGATACCTTTGGAGAAAACAACATCCATAGATGGACCAACAGAAGTTTATAAGAGTGTACAAGCAAGAGCGTCTGGTAACATGCGACTCCCATGCTGAAGCAAGAACATCAGCAGAAATATGCACCAAAGTTGAACACACTGGCACACACGATGACGCATTGCGCGACTGCTGACGTCTTCAATTTGTAGGGGTACATGATATCCCGCGAATTTCTAGACAAAAACAAAAACACTGAGATCGTCTCAAATTTCAAGTGTAGATAACTACAAGGATTTATACTGAAACTTATAATTTTGAGGTGAGTTTAATTTTAAAAGAATAATGCTTTACGGATTGGTGTCCGCTAATAGTGGAAATTAATAATCTCCCAAAATGTGGGATGAATTTTTCGCTATTTTGAAGCCCCACCCTGGTTGTTTACCCCACCAGGACATCACACAAGCGATAAACACCCGATGACACAAAGTGTCACCATGTGGATGAGGATCACCCGTGGAGATGTCCCGGAAACCGCGTTCAGCCATTAGGCCATATGACCGGGTTATATTGCGGTCCCTGGCATGAGCCAGGGTGGGGCTTCAAATAACGAAAAATTGCATCCCGCAGGGGGATGGCTAGTTATTACACCATGGTTGTGGCCGAACCCAACGATTGAACGTCGCCTCTCTAGCGATGCACAGTGTATTATCTTCAGATTAAGGACAGGGCACAACAGACTTCGTCAACAAATGTTCAAACTTTTTTGTGTAGGAAACACGGGGATGGGCCTCTTCAACTTGGCACCCGAAAATGCTGAGCATGTGCCCGAACGCTGTCAATGTACGCTGACAACAGAGACGCAATCTAGCCTGTTCCAACCACAATGAAGACAAAACTGTATGGTACACGAGAAGATATTTATCGTAAGACAGCTTTCATAAAGACTACCGGCCTCCTGATGTAAGTTTTCTGACAGAAGGATCGAAGAAGAAAAAGAAGCAGAAGAGGAAAAAGAAGAAGAAGAACTTGGCTTCTGGGACCTCTCTACGAGTGATCATCACCCGAATGGTGGCACTTTGTGTCACCGGGTGTTAATTGCTCAATGTGATGTCCTGGTGGGGTAAAAAGTCAGGCAATAATGGAAATATTTTTCTCCAAAAATCTTCTTGTTTTGTCATCTCCCTTTTGCTAGATTGTCGCCCAGTGTCGTGGTTTTCTGTATTTGTCCTGCGCTTCTCGGGTGGTTTGGGTGATGGATTTGTTCATCTTTTTTTTTTGCAGGTTTCATCTACACCGTTAATCTACCTCTTTCTTAACCTTCCTCTCGCTTTCCTCCCAGATGTTCTGCTGTAAAAATTCTCACATGCAGTTTGGTATAGCTGCTTTCTCATTAGATGGTTGAACTACTTCATTCTTTGTCTATCAATATAATCCAGACTTATTCCGACTTTTTCTCTAATGCTAGTATTGGTAACCCTGTCTCGTCTTGTGTTGTTAGTGACCTCCAAAAATCAACATTCAGCTGACATTTTTTTGGGGCACCTTTCCGTGTGCGTCAATTTTTAATTCACCATCTTTATAGACTTCAGGGTTATACTTGTTCTGTGGGCAGGAATGGTAAACATAGCCCATAGCGATGGTGTGTGATCAACAAGTGCTCGCTTGCGCTAAAAAAGGATTTCCCAAATATCCTGGACAAAAATAGACGATATATTAGCACGTGTGGATCTGAGCATACCTATGCAATCTGTTTGAAGGGACCGGGGAAGGGGGGGGGGGGGGGGGGTGGGGGGGGGGGGGGGGGAAGTGTTTCTAGCGTACGGAAACCTCACTAGCATAGAAGTTAGTAACAGACGGTTCTGTTTTAATCCCCAGAAGTGGTATAATTCGCCCCCCCCCCCCCCCCCCAGCAGCTCCCTTCTGTGTTCAACCTAGATAAATGAGGTACCCAATAATTTCCAGAAGTTTATGGAGTTGTCTTAGAAAGAAACCGACGAGGAAGGAAACCGACCAGCCACCTCATATATCGAGGCCTAGAGAATACATCACATCCCACCGACAGTATCTTCTGTGACTAAAGTTAACTTTCAAATCAAGAGGTTCGACTTCATTGCACCAGGTTTGATCCTCTCTCCATTGAACAGCTAGACGTCAAGAGAGCGTCACACACAACACGAACTATAACTCCAGCGACGATCTACATGGATCTCCTTGAAAACTGCATCTACCTTGACTACCTTTACTTAGCGAGCGCCTTATTTTCTACTGTTCTCTTGTTCATCAATATCGATATGTACTGATGATTACAACCGGTACCATCAGTATTGGAACTCGGCGCTGGCTGCTGAAGATGAGAACGGAGCATGCATGAGAATGGCCCGAGTGCTGTGATGTCAGTTCTAAACTCAACTCAACTGGCGATTTCACTATTTACTCCGAGGGGGGAAAAAAAAGCCTGGCTAAAAAAAAAAAAAAAGAAGTCCTAGCATAATTTTTCATGATGCTTGCAATACGCTGGTATAAACCCTATCACAAGTAACCCTAGTTAAGATTGTCAGCCAAACGTAGGAATTTCGTTCGTCCACTGAAACACACGACGGGGGCACATGAAGTATAAAAAAAAAACAAATCTTTAAATAAATATTACTATTGACATTATTGCTGTAAATAAAAAACATAAACTGCAAGTAAGTATTTGTAAATACCCAAACTAGCGCCTTTTTCTGCACGTTCTAAAAAGTGAGACATCCCCTAAAACTAAGCCTCAAAGCCTCTTCAAAGCAAACATTAAAATAAAACCCGGTCTTATTTTCAATGATCGATTGGGCTGTCCTCTTTGGGCTGCTACCTAAAGGTTTACGATACCCTGCTTATATATATAAATTATTAATCTGGACTGAAGACTAGGCAGATCGCATGTATCCCCTTTTTGAGTTAGTTGAGTATCCTTTACAGGACATTGCAGAATTAACCCCATCATTGTTTGACTGATGTGGTTTTTCTAGGCAAATTTACGTCCAGTAGTTTGCCATTGCTTTCTGGATGGTCGGTTTCTTGATACCACTGTCGAATCCAGTGTAAGGAGCAGAAGCCCGCTGCTGGGATCGAACCTGGTACTCTGGCATTACGAAGCCCGTTTGCAACGCTTTCGCCACAGACACTGACATATATCCTATTTAACCTCCAAAAAAAGTTTACAATGAAGACACCAAACGGTATCTCTATCACAAGCGGCTTATTCGTTGAAGGATTTAGCTGCGCATGCGTCTGTCAGCTGGTCTGTCAAAAGCCTGCTGCCTACTTGCCCTTTCAGCTGACGGCTGGTCAGATAAGTAAATTCTGGCCTTGTATTTTTTTGATTTAGAAAATGAAATACAAACCAAATGTATGTCCTATATATTTATAAATAACAGTGTATGTTTGAGATTTTTAATTCGTATCCGTTTTATTTTTTCTCTATAGTTATAGTATACCATGAAGTTATATACCCAGCTAGATACTCATAAAAATTAGGCACTAGACAATTTGAATGAAATTCCAAAATCTTTTAAAAGGAAAGTTATCGAGTAAGATGACTACCAAGCCTGCCTCGCGTGTAGTGACCTAGAGTTTGTGAAGTGTAGCACCCGTATCTTATAGGGGGAAAAAAAGGGGGGGGGAGGGGGGGGGGGTTGCCTTTTCATATTTAAAAAAAATTGTGTGTAACTACTGTATTTGTCTGATTTCCCATTATCTGATATGGGGGTACCTTTTCATTAAACAAATAATTAAAAAAAAAAAAACAAAAAAAAATCGCGTGTAACTACTGTATTTGTCTGATTTCCACCTCTAGGGGTCTCACTTGAAGGATCGAGTTCCCTTACGATTTCAAAAGTTGCATCCAGGATGGTAAACCAACATGACAAATCCCACATACCCTGTTCAACCTCAGAAGAAGTAATATTTAGGACCTAAGGGTTAACACAAAGTTGTACACTCGTATTTACTACAGATAACTAAATAGGCACTGAAATGAGAAACAAGTGGTTTGAAGAAATGATGGTGCCCAAGAGAAACTCCAATAGGAGTGTTGTGGGAGGCCAACAATGGTCTAGAGTCCATCAATGATATTGAAAGGACTGCACAGGATAGAATGGAAGACTGGACATCAAGCCATATATGGCATGTAACTCGCAGCAGGATGTTAATGTATGCTAGGAGTCTGCTATGGTAGGGGGTTGATCTTATGCTCTACTGTAACAGAACATTTGCAGGAAGGAAGCTCCTGTAATCCACTGCCTTAGGTACTCATTGTTTTCATCCATTCTAGAGACTATGGCAGACCAGGCTGCACCACCACCTCCCACGGGATCCGGCTCCCCATCGTCTCTGGCTGCCTCTCTGGGTATTGAAGATCCCCGCATTGAAATAATGGCAGACTACTTGTTGAGGCACTACAGGCTGAAACCGGATAGATGGGTCAAATTTTATAACAACCAGGACAACAAGGTTGCATGCATTGTTTGTCTTTCTCCTGTGTCTGTTCTTTCTTTTAATGCTTTTAGTACCAAGTAGGTGTTATTTTACTATTACTAATTCTACTACCACTGCTGCTGCTACTGCTACTACTACTTTAATACTGCAGCTTCTATTTCTACAACTATACTGCTGCTGCTTTCACAATTATTTTACTACTACTTCTTGTAGTTTGCTTGAAATTCAGCTCAACTTACCATGATCGCCCTTGTCATGCGCCAAGGCACTTGCTGATGATGTGATAACCCAGTTCAAGTGAATAAAGCATTGTAAAACTCTAGGGTATAAAATAATTATGTGGATCAATGGATGTCAGTTGCTAGGGACAATGAAAAAAGGGGGAAAAAAAAAGGGGGGGGGGGTTTGGTTGGGAATCAGTAGAACAAATGCAATGGGTAAGTAATATCATTTACAAAATAAACAAAAAATACAAATTAAAAAAAACAACCCCCCCCCCCCCCCCCCCCCCCCTTCCCCCCTTTTTTTTAGGGAATGAGGGAGGGCGGTGGATGATTCAAATATAGATAAACTCTTTGCTTAAAAAAAAAATTAACTTTATTAAAGTATCGTGTTTGTAGAAGACCCTTTAAAAAAAAAAGAGCGGCAGCAGTTTCCTCAGGGATAAAATAATCATGTAAGAAAAAAAAAACCCACAAGTGTATTGCTAATACTGATCTTAAATGCACAGTGGAAGTTAAACTGGAAATAAACCAGATTTACTTGTGATTTTAGGACCAAATGTAAAAATAGAAGCCTGTGTTATATACAGTGGATGTTAACATGGAAGAGCCATTTACACACCATGTGTTTTGTCTGTGAGTGAAAGAGCGAATCATTTTGTAACAGATTTTTTCTTTTCTGCACATAATTCAACTTGTAATATTTATATAAAATATTTTTATCATTTAAAAAAAATGTCTTGTGTGTCTTCATTAAATGACCATTCTCATAGCTTCCGGCCAGTGGTAGAAGAGTCAGACAATAGAAATGATTACGGTATTGCTACCTATTCATATTAAAAAAAAAAAAAACCAGTGTATGCACATATCCACTGTAGCCAACCTCCATTGTGAAGATGGCACACAAAACACACATGTACGCATGCCTACACACACATGCATGCACAATGTATATATGTATGTATGTACATTTGTACGTGTGCATGCACGTCTATTAATTAGAACATTTCTTAATTTCAGATTGCACTGACAGAATTTTTCGCCCTGTCTGAACACACAGTTGTGATCTTCTTCTGCACAGCTAGTTCTATTGACTACTCCTTCAAGTGGCCTCATGATGCGCATCAGAAGTTTACGTGAGTGAAATTGAAACAAAGAATAGTGTTCTTCTTCTTCTTCCTTTCCTCCTCCTCTTCCTTCTTATCCCTTCTCCTACTTTTGTCTTCTCCTCCTACTCCTTCCCCTTCTCCTTCTCATTCTTTTTCTGCTTCTCCTCCTCCTCCTCCTTTTCTACTTCCTTCTTTTCTACTTATCAGCGAGATGTACAGTCTTTATTGCTGTCATGTGTAAATCGTCTATCTCATCAAATACATTCTATTTCATCAAAAACATTGGTTCCCCTTGCAATAACGGTCGCTACTTGGATGGCCTCGGCCGCTTAGTCGGAGTTTAGTCCCCTGGCTGCAGTGCAATTACGGAGTGGACAAGGCACGAATCACACAACACAGTGAGTTCAACATGGCGTCTAGACCACGCGCTGCGACTCACATTACCCTAACCCTAACCCAAACCCTAACCCAAACCTTAACCCTAACCCTACCCCTAGCCCTAATTATGTCATTTGTGTCGTTCCCTCTTTTCCACTCCGTAATTGCACTGCAGCCAGGGGACTGAACTCCGACTAAGCGGCCGTCGCCGCCGTCCAACTAGCGACCGTTATTGCAAGGAAAGACATCGGTACTATGGTCTTTTTCTTTAGCACTTTTCTAGATCACCTGCCTTATTATTATCTTTTCCTGACTTCTCTCTACTTTTACAGAAAATAGATTTTCCTCAATTTTGTCTTATTAATCAGTCTGTTTTAGTATTTAATTCTAGTTTGATATCCATCTAGTATATATGTTTAAAAAAAAAACTTGTTTTCTGAAGTTCATGGGTTCATTTCATTCATTGCGTCATTCGATGTATGATCGTCTAGTGAAGCCACAACAGAAAATCCAGGTGTGTAAATTTATTTTTCCTAGGTTATTGAACCCATCCCAGAAACTCCAGGTGGGTTTTTTTCCAATTCTATCAAACCCATGCCAGAAACTCTAGGTGTGAAATTATTTTTTTCCTAGTCTAGTGAACCCATGACAGAAACTCCAGGTGTAAAATTATATTTTTCCTAGTCTAGTGAAGCCATGACACAAACTCCAGGTGTGAAATTATATTTTTCCTAGTCTAGTGAAGCCATGACACAAACTCCAGGTGTGTAATTACATTTTTCCTAGTCTAGTGAACTCATGCCAGAAACGTCAGGTGTTAAGTTATTTTTTTCCTAGTCTAGTGAAGCCATGACACAAATTCCAAGTGTGTAATTATATTTTTCCTAATCTTCTGAACCCATGCCAAAAACTCCAGGTGTGCAGTTATATTTTTCCTAATCTACTGAACCCATGCCAAAAACTCCAGGTGTACAGTTATATTTTTCCTAATCTACTGAACCCATGCCAAAAACTCCAGGTGTACAGTTATATTTGTCCTAGTCTGGCAAACCCATGCCAAAAACTCCAGGTGTACAGTTATATTTTTCCCAGTCTGGCAAACCCATGACAGAAACTCCAGGTGTGCAGTTATATTTGTCCTAGTCTGGCAAACCCATGACAGAAACTCCAGGTGTGCAGTTATATTTGTCCCAGTCTGGCAAACCCATGACATAAACTCCAGGTGTGCAGTTATATTTGTCCTATTCTGGTAAACCCATGACAGAAACTGCAGGTGAGCATTTATTTTTGTCCTAGTCTATTGAATCCATACCAGAAACTCCAGGTGTGTAATTATATTTATCCTAGAGACCTGTCAGATACTTTGTTAACAGACCTTGTGTGCTATGAAATGATCCTTTGTTTTTAACTCTCCTTTTGCCAGATATTTTGGAAAGCGTAATCCATCCACACAAATCACCAAGGAGAACTTTCGGGACGAAATGTACTATGGTGACATGTTTCCTAACTTGTTAGACCAACTGTCAATATTTCTGAGTAAAGTGAGTAATCTTGTCACAGTAATCTGAACTATCACTGCATATATGTTTGATTTTTTAGTTGATGATAGTTGAATGTTTGTTTGGCGGACTTATGGCAGACTTGCAGCGATGATTGTGAGTGAAATTACCATCAATGTCATCGCCAGCATCATCATGAGCTTGTACTTCTATCTCTAAGCATTGACAGTTTATGGTCAGTCACACCATGGCTTGCCAGGCCAAAGTCATTCTGTGTGGATGTACAATATCTTTAATATCATTGATTCATCTTCTCAGTGGATACCCTTGTTGTGGAACGCGTTTCTTTTTAAGCACTATAGTGGTGGGTGTGGGTTTGAATCCTCCCTCCTGATGCAAGTGAGAAACTGAGACAACTGTCTTTTGATTCAAAGTGTCAATGGATACTCAAAATACAAACTTGAATTGGCTCGTGAAAGAAAGTGAGCTGCCTGAATATCCCCAGAAAAGGGAAAAGATAATCTAGATACCTAGCGAACAATTACTAAATGAATAGCTAGACAGAGCAGATTACCCCACCCAACATTTCCCTTTCTGGTCATTAAATTAAGCCCCCATCTAGAATAATAATTTTGATATACAGCACAAAACTGACACCATACACATATCTAGAAATTAAATTAAACTTTAACTATGAGTGTAAATCAGTCATAGAAATGTTTATTAAAATTAAAGTTAATATCAGTCAACTATTTACTTTTAAAATACAATTCTCAAACTAAATAGATTTAATGAAATATTAAAATGATAGTCACACGAAACTGTCGTCGTGAGAGGGTTAGGGTGAAATAACACACAGCAGTTACCACCAGGGGTTTCCCCGAGGATCATCCATTTCTGAGAATGAGGTGGAACGTTGGATCTGTCTCAATCACTAAGACCAAGACCTTCCTCGGGGCACTTCAGTGATCACCTAGACCAGTCTGGCAGTGGTCTGAAAGCTTGTCCTGCCACAAGGAACAAGGAATCTGTCCTTGGCTTTTCAGCAGCTGGATGTAGAGCTATATGACTATCAGATGAATTTGGCCATACTGCTAAGGTTTAGGCTGCTTGAAAGACAGTCAACTTAATTTTTTTCCAAACTGCACTTTCGTTTCGGCTAGCGCCTGGAAGTCAATAACTTGCAATCCCGTCTAACAGCGGGGACTCGGTGGTGGCCAGGTTTTTGCAACATTGCCGAATTTGCTAGCAGCAAATTATATATGTGAATGCACAGGAAAATTGCAAATGAGACACAATGAGAATTTCCCCAATCATCAGCTGTAGACCATAATTGGGATATTCCTCAATGTCGTCGCTGACAAAAATGACGTCACCCTTGACCTAGCCAAGAGGGAAAAATAGCAGGGTAAAAAAGGGGCGGTACATCAGTCAAGGTATCTTGTCTACTTGAAGCGGCATCTTGCATCTGCCCCTTGCTCTCACATAAGAGCCAGTAAAAATATTAGTTTCATTGTCAATATAACTGTGAAGTCTACAGTAGTTGTAAGCATTTTGTTGAGTGCCATTCAACCCCACCAGGACCGCACAGTAAGAGATTAACACCCAGTGACACATAGTGCCACCATTTGGATGAGAATCACCTGGGCACAAATCCCACAAACAACGTTCAACCTTCAGGTTATATTAGGGCCCCCGACAACAGCCGGGGTGGGGCTTTAAAATAACAAAAACATTACATCCCATATTGGGGCATTCTTATTCTTTAAGCTTTAGTTTTTCTAATTTACTATACAATTACCAGTGTTGTCATTATGTAAAACTTGACACTTACAGCAAGCACTGTTGCTACATGTTGGCGTTTTTTTAATGTATCTAGAAATTGTGTGTGTATGCCTTTCTAAGCCATCAAACTGTTCTTTGTTTATAGACCATAATCTATCTTAAAATGTGTTTAAATTATTTATTTGTCTATCTTTATGTCTTGTAGATCTCCTATGCCCCTCTTTGTGTCCCTATGAAAATCTGTGTTCTTTATTATATACAAAACATCTGTCTATATGTATATCAACTGTTCTTCAGGAACTGTATAAACCTTTCATGTCAGTGTTTATAAACATCTGTGCATGTCTCTAAACATGTATAATTTAACTGTCAGTATTCATACACCTTTCACATGTTTTGTGTGTGTGTATCAACTGTTTAGAACATTCATCTGTGTGTGTATATATAATTCATTTGTCTATAATTACACACTGTTTTTCTTTGTGTAGAAATCATTCAGCTGTCTCTGCATATAAACCATTCCTTTGTCGATGTGTATAAATAATTTATCTGTCTGTAGAAACCATTCTTATGCATGTTTATATAAACCAGTCATCTATCTGTGTGTGTAAACCATTTATCAATTTGTAAAAAAACTATCCATCAGTCTGTATAAACTACCCTGTGTGTATGAATCATTTGTCTTTCTGTTTGTACAAATCCTTTCTCTGTCTATCTATAACTGCTATAAACCAATAATCTGCCTGCCTGTATAACCATTCGCCTGTCTATTTGTATATATTATTCATATGCATCTGTAAATCATTTATCTGTCTGTGCAGAAACCATTCATCTGTCTGTGTTTTTATCATTCATATGCATGTTAAACTCTTCATAAGCCTGTCTACCTAAACCTTTCATTTGTCTGCATGCAAATTGTCCAAATGTATGCTTAAACCAATCATCAGTCTGCGTAAGCCATTTATCTCTCTTTGTGTATAAACCCTTTATCTGTCTGTGCAAAGCATCCATCCATGTGTATAAACCATTCATCAGTTTGCTCAAGTCACTTATCTGTCTGATTAGAAACCATTTATCTGTCTTTGTATATACATAATTCATATGCATGTTTTGAACCCTTAATCTTTGTCTGTGTGAATTAACCATTCATGTGTCTGTGTGCAAAGCATCCATCGATCTGTATAAACCATTCATCAGTCTTCGTAAACCATCCACCCCTCTGTGGGTGTAAAACATTGATGTGTCTGGGTATTACCAGTTAATCTGTCCAGACTGAAAGTGCTTGCATGTTTTGCTTGATTTCCCGCAGAGTTGCTCACAAATAATACAACTGAATCTAAACCAACACAGGACAGAAAAATGCGACACCTAATATGTATATATTTTTCAGTCAAAATACATCAAATACTGCCTTCTTTTTTTAAATTAAAGGATCTTTTGTTCACCTGTAGCCCATTTTTCTGCAATAATTAATATAATATATGCATTCACAGTTTTGGCAATGAAGAGTTTATGCTATTATTCAGATTGTAGAACGTGTTGCTACCAATGAAGCAAATACATCAAAGTGGCCCAAGGCAACAACTGAAGACATACGCCATCATATTCACACGTTAAAAAATATTGTGGATGTGACAGCATCTAAGGCTAAAGGACATACACTTCTGCGAATTCCAAATGAATTTGACGACTTTGAATATCCACTTGGATCTTCAGAAAGGTATTTTTAGTTTTTGGTGAAAATCAAATAATAGATGAATGAATGGAGAATTGACATCACTGCTCTCAGGTATTCCCACATGTGCTCTGTCCCGTTTCTCAGTCGCTAGATGTGGTGAAGGTTATTTGGGAGCAAGGAAACAATGCAGAAGTAGGAACAAATAATGACAATGAGAAGACAGAATGGTGCAGCAGGAAGTTCGGCCAGCAGTCTACAGCAAAACTATTCAAATATGTTAACTCAGGGGCCACAAATTTGAAACTGGGGATCGTCATGGGCTAGAGTCCCAAGCCCAGCATAGAAAGATCATAAAGACAATGCAACTAGCATTAATACACAGGCCACTTGCTAGGTCTCTGCAGGCTAACCTGGCCCACGTGCAGCCAGTTAAAATAACCCTGCTCTATAGCTGGAGAATAGGCAAGATAAACATATAAACACACTGCTACTGGTACCAAACTTAATTTGAATTCTTTGCTGGCTGCTAGAGATGAAGATGGAGCGTATATGGAAATATCCTAAATGCTTAAATGGCATTTTTTGACTCACTTTATCTCTGTAGCCAAAAATAGTTCCCATACACAGATAATGATATGACTTTTCAAATGATGACATTTATGTTCAGTTTTTGACACTGTCTATCAACAGTGTTAATGACACACATCCTTTCCTCCTCTATAGTAACCCCAGCTATCTCATTTTATTGAGCGTCTGCTATTCCTAAGTTTTGTTATTTCAACTTGAAGATCCTGGGTTCATTTCCTGGATGCATCATTCAATACATGAGTACAGATTTTACAGAAATGGTGGAGCTACGAAGTTTGTGCTTTATGGGATGTAATCGGAGGTACTCGGCAGGCGGCTAGCCATTCTATGGATGCAGACCAAGCCATATGGAACAAAACCCAGTGCAATAAGGTCGATCCACTTAACACTTACAGCTTTGCTGTATTTAACAAATACTTAAGTATCACAGAAATAGAAGGATAGCTGCATGGGGTTAAAAGAGCAAACACTTTGGAATTTGTGCTGTGAAGGTAAAAATTTCTCTCTCTCTCTCTCTCTCTTTCTCTCTCTCTCTCTCTGTCTCTCTCTCTCTGTGTCTCTCTCTCTGTGTGTCTCTCTCTCTGTCTCTCTCTGTCTGTCTGTCTGTCTCTGTCTCTCTCTCTTTCTCTGTCTGTCTCTCTCTGTCTCTCTTTCTCTGTCTGTCTGTCTGTCTGTCTGTCTGTCTGTCTGTCTGTCTGTCTGTCTGTCTGTCTGTCTGTCTGTCTGTCTGTCTGTCTGTCTGTCTGTGTCTGTCTGTCTGTCTGTCTGTCTGTCTGTCTGTCTGTCTGTCTGTCTGTCTGTCTGTCTGTCTGTCTGTCTGTCTGTCTGTCTGTCTGTCTGTCTGTCTGTCTGTCTGTCTGTCTGTCTGTCTGTCTGTCTGTCTGTCTGTCTGTCTGTCTGTCTGTCTGTCTGTCTGTCTGTGCTACAGTAAACTACATTACAAAAAAATCTGATGTAAACTGCACAACAGGTCTTTAAAATGCAGTTTCTAAGCAAATTATAGAAAGCAGTATTGTACTCATGATGCTTAGATAATATATCACCAGAATTAATTTTCCAAGTTTTATGTGATAAAAGTTGAATACCTTCTTACATAGACATAGATGGCTGACTATCAAAAATGGGTGACACTGTGTGTAAATATACTAACAGGACGCACAGAGCACAATTGGGAATATCTGACTCAGTGGCACGGCTTGATCAGTTCACATGTAGCGATAATACAGGAGAGGGTATCATGCGGTATTTTCCTCTTCATTGCTTTGCCAGTGAGAATATGCGTGCTCAGCTAGTATTGTAGCACTAATAACTGGTAGCTTTCTTACGCACGCTACAGTGTCTACTTAAGTGGTGTAAGCATGCAGTAAGCAATGTTTTGGTTATATTTGAGATGTAAACTGAGTGGCATTTTGTATTTTAGGGTAGACAGTAATTATAAAATAAAAGCAATGTTTCCCTGTTGTGAATTTGAACAAAGAAGACACAAATAATAGATTGCACAATTTATTGCCTGGCATATTTTGCTGTATCTCGTCAGGTGCATAATACAGTAACAATTGATTAAAATGAAGAAAATAAATTAAACCTTCAAACTGAAACACAAAATTGACTACATTCGCACATTTTCTGTTTCACCAAGGTAATTGCAAAATGACGAGCATCTTCTTCTGTCGGCATAAATCTGGATTAAAATGGCTGATCGCTGACACTTCTGCTTATCGGAGTAAAAATAATAAAAAAGTAAAATAAATTTTTGTGGGCAGTAGGAAATGTAAGTGGCGATCACATCCATTACTTGCATGCCTGACCACTTATCTGACTATGTTAACTGTTCAAATATATTTCCACCAACAGGGTTGACAGACGATTGCTTCATGAAATTGAATCATTGATAGTAATGTGGAGCAATGAGATACAGGAAGTGCTGAAATATCGATGTGCCGACCCCATTCTAGAGGGCAAGAACCCCAGTCCAGCTACTGAGATTAAATACTGGCAAATGAGGGCCAAAGACTTTGATCAACTGTACCAACAGGTAACATCAGCGTTAGCAACAGTGGGGCTGTTTCCACAATGGAGGCTGGCCTCAGTGTCAGTTAAAACTAGTCATCATCATGTAGCAGGTCCTTTGCAGAACGTCGCTCTCATCACAGACTGCCTGAAAGAAACTCGGCCTTTCGCCAGTTCTCCCACCTCATGCACTTTCACACTCAAGGAGTCACTTATATCCTGTGCCCATCTTCGTGTCGGTCGGCCCCTGACCCTCCTTCCTTGTACCATGCCTTCTGTTATAATTTTTTCCAGTCCGTCGTGGCGCTTGATATGACCAAAATATTTCAGCTTTCGAGAGAGGTTGCTGTTTATTAGCCAATCTTCCTTGATATTCAGATCTTTTAAGATGTCAATATTTCTCATCTTCTTTGTCCAAGATATTCTGAGAATCTTTCTATAGCATTTTAGCTCAAAAGACCCTATTCTCTTTCTTAAGGACTGAGAGATAGTCCACGACTCACATACGTATGTAGCCACAGGCTTTTGTCAAAAATTACCTTGACTCCCAGGTCAACTGAGCCTTGAGAAGGTACCATGTGCAGTCCTGGGAAGTTAGGCGGTCGCGTGATGCTGACCACATCACCCACCAAGTGCGGATTGGTCTATAAAAACATAGATCTAGCCCTATATTCCTAATATGCCTAAAGGCATGGAAAAGGGACCTTTTTACTTTACAAACATTGAGGATTAAATTATTAAAAAAAAAAAAAAAGTTGCCAATGTTATTTCTTGTATTTGCCACTTTTGTGGTGTAGGCAGTGGGGTCTTTGGGCATTAGGATTTAGGTTCGTATTGCCAGAGCAGTCATTGCAGACTGTGTTGGTTATATTTTTATTTTTGCTTCTGACACAAACAAATCTTCAACCTTACTTAGGATTCGAACCTGGGTCTCCGGCATGAGAGCCCAGCATTCTTAACCGTTCAACAGGCCACTTCGCTTACATTGCGAAATCATTTCAATAGAATCTAAACTGCAGACCATATATCTGCATTTAAGAGTTACTAATAATACTCTTTCAGAATTTGTAGAGAATTTTCTAAGAAGAAAAGATAAGAAATGGAACTGGTTTCTCCACTTTGTGTGTCAATGTTTAGAATATGTCACAAGTGAAAGTTTTACACAAGCCTCCCCAGTAGCAGAAGCTGCTTTGGACTATGTTTATCTTTATTGATAGTCTCTGTATTTGCTATATTGATGTGGTCGCCATTGTGCAAGGGATATCTGTCAAACTAATTATGAGACAATAAATAAGTGTTTAGTTTGAAATGTGATAAGGCATACATGATTATATCCTTATTTTGGAACAGAAATTTGATCATCACAGTCTGGTGAGAGTGATGTAGCGAGGAGTGACAGGGAAGGATCTTGCTGAAACTTGAGGTTTAGAGGAAAGGTAAACTGGACATATAATCAGACTGCTAATGGCACCATTGGTACTGGAACTCAATGTTGGGTGCTGAAAATGGGGACGGAGCACTTATGGGAATGCTCTGAGTGCTGTGATGTCAGATCTTGAACTAACTCAGATCAACTCTGTTCTTCTTCTTCTTGTTCTTCTTGTTCTTTTTCTTGTTCTTTTTGTTCTTTTTCTTGTTCTTCTTTTTCTTCTTCTTGTTATTGTTGTTGTTGTTGTTGTTCTTCTTCTTCTTCTTCTTCTTTTTCTTCCTCTTCTTCTTCTTCTTCTTCTTCTTCTGCCTTTTACCCCTCAGTTGAAACACATGCTTCCAAAAAACTTGCTGCAAGTCATCCTGTTGAAAGACTGTTGGAGTTAGCACCTCTGATTTCTGCCTTATGCTTTAGAATGTGTGCGAGCTGTTGCATTTTGCCAGTTCCACTGTCTGCCTGACTTTTCGCATGGGAAAATGATAAGCATTCAGTGTATTTTTTGCTGGCCTGGGAATTAAGCAGTCATGGGCTGAACTATTTTCCATGAAGCGGGAAATATGATTGATAATCTAATGAGTATTGGTGTTATCTTTGCTTGTTTACTCAATGTGCACCCACAGCTGAATAATCCAAGGGTGAAAATGATGGCTTACTACTTGAAGAATGGAAGGAGTGTGTATTATCAAGCCTTCAAAGATCTGTACAGCAGTGTTGTTGGTGGTAAGGAGTTGTAGACTGGAAATACTTTGTTATTGACAGTTTGTTTATACTGTATCTGTAAATACTTCTCAAACAACTGTCTGCAGTGAATGACTCATAACTTTTCATTTATACATGGCTGTCTGCAGTCTGTGTCACTGCATTGAAAAATTTTTTTTTTAAATTTATGTTTAATGTCTCAGTTTTTTAGGGTTATTTATTAAAAAATTGCTTAGTTTTCAACACAAGAGAATACGCATACAGTAAACTATAGAACAACATTCTTAATTGCCAGTCTTTTGACTGTTAGTTTAGCTGGTTTTCCTAAAATTATTTTTAAGTAGGCAAAACAAAACATTTTTAAAGGATATTTATAAATTGCTTTTGTATTTATTTGTGTAGACAAAAAGACATGGTCATGAACCTGTATTTGCACTTGTTAAAAAGATTGTTACTGTTGAGCGAAGTTATGTTGTATTTAATTTAGAATTAGTAATTTATGTGCTTCATTATATTAATTTGTTACATGGTATACACCTGAGAAGATACAAATAAATATGACAGGCAATAAATTATGCAATGTATTGTTTATATCTCCTTTTTTCATATTTAGAATGGAAAAACATTGCTTTGACAATCATTTATTTTCCACCCTCTAGTCAAAATTCTGAAGCTGGGCCATCTGCTTTTCCTGTGTCCATAACAGATATGAAAAACTGTCCATGTGATCTCTACCTGTGAGCCCAATTCGTGAAGTTTCTTGCTTGTCAGATTTACCTCCACTTTATGGGATTAATCAAGAGGGAAAAATGTTCTCTGCTAAGTGAGAATTGGACACCTTTGTCACTACTCCACCAGTTTGCCCAGGTGCTCTGACATACTAGTAGAGGTTGTTAGCCCAGGGCTAGTGAATTTGTCTTATCTGAGAACTCTGAACAATTTTTTCCACCCCCACCCCCCAGTGCTGTTACTATCAGTTCTACCCCCACAAGAATATCTCAGTGCTGTGACCATCAGTTCTACCCCCACAAGAATATCTCAGTGCTGTTACCATCAGTTTTATCCTCAGAAAAATATCTCAGTGCTGTTATCATCAGTTCTACCCCCACAATAATATCTCAGTGTTGTTACCATCAGTTCCACCCCAAGAAGAATATCTCAGCGCTGTTACCATCAGTTCTACCCCCACAAGAATATCTCAGCGCTGTTACCATAAATTCTACCCCCAAAAGAATATCTCAGTGCTGTTACCATCAGTTCTACCCCAACAGGAATATCTCAGTGCTGTTACTATCAGTTCTACCCTCACAAGAATATCTCAGTGCTGTTACCATCAGTTCTATCCTCACAAGAATATCTCAGTGCTGTTACCATCAGTTCTATCCCCCACAGGAATATCTTAGTGCTGTTACCATCAGTTCTACCCCCCACAAGAATATCTCAGTGATGTTACCATCAGTTCTACCCTCACAAGAATATCTCGGTGCTGTTACCATCAGTTCTATCCTCACAAGAATATCTCAGTGCTCTTACCATCAGTTCTATCATCACAAGAATATCTCAGTGCTGTTACCATCAGTTCTATCCCCCACAAGAATATCTCAGTGCTGTTACCATCACTTCTACCCCTACAAGAATATCTCAGTGATGTTACCATCAGTTCTACCCTCACAAGAATATCTCGGTGCTGTTACCATCCGTTCTATCCTCACAAGAATATCTCAGTGCTCTTACCATCAGTTCTATCATCACAAAAATATCTCAGTGCTGTTACCATCAGTTCTACCCCCACAAGAATATCTCAGTGCTGTTACCATCACTTCTACCCCTACAAGAATATCTCAGTGCAGTTACCATCAGTTCTACCCCCACAGGAATATCTCAGTGCTGTTACCATCAGTTCTACCCCCACAAGAATATCTCAGTGCTGTTACCATTAGTTCTCTACCCCCACAAGAATATCTCATTGCTGTTACCATCAGTTATGCCCCCACAAGAATATCTCAGTGCTGTTACCATCAGTTATGCCCCCACAAGAATATCTCATTGCTGTTACCATCACTACTACTATCACCAGGATATCTCAGTGCTGTTACCATCACTACTACTATCACCAGGATATCTCAGTGCTGTTACCATCACTACTACTATCACCAGGATATCTCAGTGCCATCAGGACACATTTTGAGGAAATCTGAGAACAATATAACTAGAAGGGAGCTAGAGAGTGAAGTTAAAAAGATGGGGAAGGCATGAGGATAACTGCGTGCAATATCGGAGGATTGAATGACTTGGCCTGAGTTGGTTGAGGGCCACTGGGGCCTATGCTCCATTAGGTGATAGAAGGCAGAAGTTTACCATCAGTTTTACCCCTAAAAGAATATCTTGGGGCCATTATAATTAGTACTGCTTTAACCATTACTAAATACCATTATAACTAGTGCTACTGCCACAAGTATATCTCAGTGCGGTTACCATCACTACTACTATCACTATGATATCTCAATGTCATTACCATCAGTACTACCATAATGATCATTTAGTACCATTATAGTTGGTATTACTATCAGAAGAATAAAAAGCTTTGTGCCAAACCATCAGTTTTGTCACAAGGATCCTGTAATTTGTTCTGGGCTCCATATTTAAAAAGAGAAAGGAGGGCAGAATAAATCCACTGCCTCCTTAACAAGCATGTTGTACAAGGCGACTAATTAGGGGGGATTCCTTTGAAGTCAGAGTGCATCTTTATGAACTACTTATTTGCCTAGAAAAACCACAACAGCCAAAAAATGCTTGGGTTGGTTCTTTAGTGTCCTACAGAGGACATGCAACTAACTTTTGTTTGTGGTATCATTTACAACAAAAAACACCTCAATTTTAGAATGCACTCCTTTTTTGATGATTCTGTTATTTACGAATGATAATAAGTATGACTGTAAGGGGTCTGTGGTATAATGATAAATAAGAGAGGTCCAACGTTTTTTTTTAGCTATTTGAGAATCACCTCCCTAAATTATAATCAATTGTTTAAATCTTCTTATTTGACTTTTTTCTTCTTGATGGTGTTATAGCTCTAGTGGAAGCCAATGACAACGTTACATACTTGATGTCTATTCAATATGCTCTGGACACCATTGAAACTGTTGATTTTGAGACCTGCGAGCCCCTGCTGAAGCCACTGATGTACACAGTTGGTCTGGTGTGGGTGCACTCTAAATACTATAACACCCCAGAGAGAATCACTGTGCTGCTACAGATGTTGTGCAACTACGTTATAGATATGGTAACAGCCCTGCATTGAACACAATGTTTTTTTGTGTTTTTGTTTTTTCAAAGTTAAATTTTAAGTTCTTCTGACTTACTTCTACTTATGGAGCATAGGCACTCAACCAGTTTACACTAGCTCCTTTGAAGAATAGCTAAATGATTTGTCTGGATCTGCTGTTATACTTTTCTACATGATGAGGAAACCTTTCTCATGCCAGCTCTGATTAATCACATTCTTTGCCTCCATTATAAAACCCACCATCACATGGGCATAGTTTATTCATTATTTTGCATATATTCACTTTATATTTTGCAAATAGTAATATAAAAAAAATGGCCTTTATAAATCACTGTCTGATAATGATAATAGTCTTTTTATGTAAATCAAATTTGAATACGCTAATTTTTTTTAACATGAAGGGCATTAACCCTTTTACCTCAGGAGTACTTTAAAAAAAAAAGGGTCATGATCCTATAAAAATTGCAGAAAAAACCTCTGAAGACAAAAATGTTTACACAGGTCACTAATCAATTTGTTACAATCCCCATGTGGGTTCTATGACCCCACTGTGGTGAAAACAAACAAAGGCCACTGCCCCCAGCAAGAATGTCATAAGAGTTGACTTATTAGCGCTGTTTCCTTGGAAGTTAAAGACAGCCTGCATAATCTAAAGCTAGATCTGTCAAATGACTGCAAGCAAAACACAGGTTCTGGAACAAGACTTGAGTCCAGTAGAGGATGGGCAACTAGAACTTTCTGCAGCCGGTGAACATGAAGAGGAAGAATAATTGATTTAAAATGTATTTATATATGGTTTTAATTTTAAAAAAATAATTAATTATATATATATATATATATATATATATATATATATATATATATATATATATATATATATATATATATATATATATATATATATATATATATATATATATATATATATATATATATGTATGTATATTTGTTTTTTCAAATTAAAACCATAAATATATATATATATATATTTAAAAAAAAAAAAGATTTATGAAAGGGGTAATCAATAAACACTAACAAAGGGAATCATTAAATGAAACACGCTCCCCAGTCTTAAAAAAGTATACATGTAGGGGGTGACCCCGTGGTCTCAGTGAGGTTTATGAAAAAGTTTGACGTCAGCCTGGCTTTACAAAAGCCATTTCACTCCAAAAGAACCCCCTTATTTGATATTTCTAGTTAATGTATTCATTATCCCGACCTTTTAAATGTTTGAGTAGGTGCAAACGTGGTCAGTAGAGCATTGTGTCTCGTAAACAGGTCACTATAGACAAATCTTTCCATCACATATAGTGCAGCTCATTAAAATGCTCTATCAAGACCAACAAGCAGCAGTCAGAATAGACGGAGAGACATCAGACTGGTTTGGCATCAAGCAAGGAGTCCGTCAGGGATGTGTGCTGTCACCGTATTTGTTCAACCTGTACGCCGAAAATATAATGAGAAATGTAAGAGATGATATAAACAAGGAACAATATGATGCCCTAAACATCGGTGGTCATGAAATACCAGAAATTCGTTATGCTGATGATACAGTATTACTATCAACATCACAAAATGGTTTAGAAAACTTATTAACCTCACTCCAAAGAAATAGTGAAAATCATAACTTATTTCTTAACACAGCAAAAACAAAGATAATGCATACAAACAAAACTGCCATGGAGAAGGAAATATATGTTAATGAAGAAAGATTGGAAGTGGTGGAAAATTTCGA